ATCATAGCTTTTTGACACGTATGTCAGATACGGATACGTGCGTGCGTGCGTGTGTGTGCGCGTACGTGCGTGAGCACATACGTACGTTACGTACGTACGTACGCATGTACGGTACCTCGACAATTTAAAGTGTCGTCCGTGCATTCGTTAAAATCACCGACCCCACGCGCCTGTTCTATTTGATTCCTGGTTGACAAAGTTGTTTGTTAATAAAGCTACCATCATTTCTTGTCTTGGTCTGATGGAACCATCGATCAATTCTCATTGGACAGAGTTGCGACTCGTGGGTCGATAAAGTAAGTTCATGTAATTGACAAAGTTACAATGATACGATTGCTATTGAACAACCTAAATTAGTCATCTGTGCGGATCAAGAGAGAGCTTTTCCCAATCTCTGAAAAGATCTTCCATTGGTTAGTCGGGTGTGGGGCGCTTTTGTTGAATGGTCCTCAGATCACCTGAACGAGAAACGAGGTCGGTCACCTGAGTCAGATACGAAACGGCGCACAAACAAAAAGCAAAATGAGTAGGTGAGGCAACGAGTGACGAACGCCTCATGAAAAGTATCTTGTACACGGTTCGCATTTTACCCAAATCGACACTCCGGTCCGAATTATCACACGACACATCGCAATAATGGATTAAAATGTTCGAAACAAGTTTATCTTGTGAGATGGTGACATCAAAATCCAACCACAAATAGGCTTGATTTATTATCTTCTATGAATTAGTTTGGCGATCAATCAATGTGTGCACATAAATTATTTTTTTTTTTGGTTTCGTTCGTTTAATACTAAACGCCCGAACCATCAACATAAAGTGTGACCGTAAATCAGCAAGAAATATCCCGAATAAAACCTTATTATACTTTGTCGAATGAGAACGTATAGAGGTGACCCCATCCATCCGTCCATCCATTCATTCATCCATCAATCCATCAATCAATCAATCAATCTCTCGTTCACCCTGGTAACCCAGCCCCACGCTTGTTCAGGTTAACATTTACAATGAGCGAAAATGGAATGTTTTTTTATTTGTTATTTTCATCTCGGTAGTATACGATCATCTTACCGAACTCACCAGCCTATGATAGCAGCAGCTTG